TTCCAACTCCTAATATTCTGTGATTCTGGCTGTGGTCCTGTGTAGAATGTTACATTGTATATCTGCTTGTTTTCACAGGATCCTGGAGTATGAGAAGCCGAACTTGAATGGTAACAGCAAGGGAGCTGGGTGTCGATTTGAGTTGTGGGATTGCAGTGGTGATCAAAAGTAAGGCAGCGCACTGTTACTTCCTCCTTAAGGTTACTTAATTCATAATAGTTCTGTTTACAGAAAATTTCCATACTTAAGGCCTAAAACCAATATTCTTTCTGAGATGAGGAATATTCACACCTTATTACCCTGTTGAATTTTTTTATAGCTTTCTGCTATAAAGCATCTGATGCTAGGCACTCTCTGTCATGATCTCAGCTGACACTGTTTTGGATGAAGACTGAGTATAACAGTGAAGTCCATATCTCCTAAAATTAAGTTCCAGGTACAGAAGACAGAGGCCCACTCAATAACTGCCTTTATCTTCTTGAAGTTGTTATGTGAGTGGACTTAAAACACTGTTTATATATCTGATCGAGGCCTTAATTTCCAAAAGATACAATTGAGAACTGGACAGATTTGTTTTTAGAGAAAAAGTTAAAATAAACATTTGACCAAATAATACATCGTCAGCAAATCATGGGACCAAATAACATAATAAGTAAGTAAAAATATTTGGAATATGATAGGTCACTGTCAAGATTACTGATGTTATAATAAAGAAAAAGTACTGAAATGTGTTCTTGAGGAGGGAAGAAGAAAACCTGAGGAAGTTTGCATGTATGTTTCTGTTTTCCAGCTATCAATCTTACCATTTTCCATGCATCTCTTTTTCAAGGTTTGAAACATGCTGGCCAGCTCTGATGAAAGACTGCCATGGTGTTGTAATAATCTTCAATCCTGAGCTGCCCAGTTGCCTGAAAGAAATTGAAATGTGGTACTCCTGTTTCGTGCAGCAGCAGCCACTGCTTGATAGTCAGTGTCTCCTAGTTGCACATCACAAGCCAGGCAGTGCAGGGGACACAGAAGATCTGTCATTGGGTAAGAAGATGGAAAACTCATTCTGTAACTCCGAGTATTTTATTGATCTCTTTATCTTTAAAATATTCAGATGTTATGGCTTGCATTTTACTTTGCAAAAGGGTTACCTAGAAGTTGAGCAATATTCCTGTTTCACAAAAGGGGAAAGTAAAGGCAAAAAAAGTTTGAGTGACTTTTTTAAGGTCGCACAGTGAGTACGTAGCTGAGCCAGCAATTAAAACTCCCAAACTCTGAAGCCATATGTCATCATCACTAGTAGTTTGTTCCTTGCATTCAATTATGTCTTTTGTTAACTGACACTTCTACAGCCATTTAAGCCTGCGTTTCATCCATAATTTGAAATAAATGGCTAACAATCTTCCTCTTAACATTAAAGTTATTAATAGGTACCTTATATACTGCAAAATTATTTGTGGCTGTTTACAGAAATGAGAACACACACTCCCTCTGGGCAACCAGTTCCAGTGTTCAAATATTTATTGTAATATTAATATTTTGATACACAGTTAACAATATCATTCCATAATTTTGAAGTAATCAAAAAATGTCCTATCAATTCAATAGTAAAACTGCAATTCAGTGCTGAATTGTTTCATTCTGCAGAACTGAATGTGAGACCAAAACCAGTACTTTAAGGTTTAATAATAATGTTTGAGGAATTTAATCTAGCAACAAATTGTACTTGTTTGTAATGCTGACAAGCTATGATGCATTTCTTCTTCACGTGTTATCTGGCGTATCAAACACTGGATACTACTGAATGCTGACTTCAGCATGAGCTGTTCCATGACCTTGATTGTGAATATTTCTTTTATAAAAGGAATATACTTAATTATTTTTTATTTACCTTCAAAGCTTACCCACTGAACAAGCTAAAACTAATACATTCCAACTTAGAAGAAGATCCTGAAGATGTTCGGATGGAATTTATGAAATACTTCAGAAGCATTATCACCTTAATAAATGAGAGCAGAGAGAGAGAAGAAATGTCAATTATGTCATAACATTAAAAGAAATACTGAACAGGGAAGAAAATGGACATTTTTTTTTGTAAGCTACGCCATCCTGTGAACAGGTCCTTGCAACAAGAATTTGCCAGCCTATAAACATTTCAGAGAAAATAAAGCACAATATATGACTTCATCAGAAAAAAAACGAGTGTTGACATCACATGAACTGTGCTGCCAGAGATAGCTGCAAATCCAGGAATTTGGGTAACTTCAGCTGCCCTTCAGTTTCATTTGGCATCAGAGGTACAGGAAGGTATTGTTTAATGTGGACCAAAAGATGATAAAGGTATTGGTCATCTCTTCACTTCAGAATCCTTTTTTGAAGAGGCACAGGAGAAAAAAGCCTGACAGAATATATGATTTTTGGAGTTCTGTTGAAGCATCTGAGTAAAGTGCTCATGCCAGCTGCGTTCCTGGAGAAGTTACGCTTTTGGAAGTCAGCACAAACTGATTGGAACAGAGATCTGAGGAGTAGTCCTGGTGTGGAATCCACATTTTAATGTTCCAAGTTCTCCTTATCTTTCTGTCCAGCATCTGAAGAGAGTACATTTCATAGCTATTGCCTTGGCAAGGCAGAGTACATTGCAGTCTTTCTCAGGACTAGGTTCTTCTGTTCCAACAAAATGTGGTGTTGGGGACAATGTTTAAGTCTCTCTGGGAAGAAAAGAACTGAAACCTTAGTGTAATGCAATACTTTGACCTATGCTGGGAGCTCCAAGAGAGGAAAAAAAAAAGTTCTCCAAGGGAGGAGAAGTTGTTTCGATACTTGTATTACTATTCCCTATTGCACTGAAAGAAGTGGTGTCCTAGATAATTGACTTTCTGATTTGTTTGGTTTGCACTCCTTCCTGTTCTTAGGGTATTTTGCTGTGGAAGACATTTTTTGTAACATGCAGTACTAAAGCATTAAACACATTTCTGGAATGCATCCTTTTTGTTTTCAAAGGTGAAGTTAATTATGGTTTTGTGGAATTCTTACTGACTTTTTTAGTTTTTAGTAAGTAAAACACTGATACATTTGTAGCATGTTTCACACTAATTAGCTCCAACAAGAGAGGTGTACAAAAAGTTGACACTGACCCAAATAGCCAAAGAAATTACAAATAAAACCAGAATTCTTTATTCATACTGACACACACTTTTTTACTTCAGAAGATCATTTAAAGGAGAGAGGGACTGGGAGCAGGAACTGTAAAAATGCTTGAGAAGCATCACATTTCACCTTGTACTGCAACTCACCTTGTGAAATGTGAGATCAATGGCTTGTCAGAACTATGTCTGACATACAGCACTAAATTTTACAGGCTTTGTTTCATTGCATATTCATACCATAGAGCTATATTTGAGCTGGAGCTGTTTTACAAGTATATTTGTTAAAACAGCCTTGTCCTCTCACCAACATTGTCTTTCAGTAAACACCCTCTACAGGATGTTATAAAACAGGAAGTACTTGATGTATTTTAGTTCAAGACAACAGGAGTGAGAGCTTTTTGGTTTTTTTCCAGTGATCTACATTAATTAGTTTACTATTTTTCCTATTTTCAAAGTTCAGTCTTTTCTGAGTAATAAGTAGCCTGTCCTTGTGCAAATTTTCTGCTTTCCAAGATGACGAGATGCCTCAAAGATCGTACTTGGTTGTTTACACGTCTTTCTCCTGTCCTTCAAACAGTGTGCAATTGGGGCTTTCTCTAGGGTTTCCTCTGGGAAGCGTCAGAGCAGAGAGCGGTCAGGGCGTGATGCGTGCCACAGACTGGAGGTAAGCAGTAGCACTGCTCTTGTTCTGGCCTCCTCAAAACACCCACAGGTTTCAAGGCAAAAAATTGTCACTCCCTTTCTTTTGTCAGTCCTCAGTGGGATCTGTTGTAGTGGTGTAATAATGATTGGCTGTAGCAGCTCAAAATAAGGAACCTTCATTGTTGCTTTAAGGTAGATTATTCAGTTATTTTCATGTACTGCTTGTGGCACTAATATGTCATCATGCGCAAAATCAGCAAACACATTGCTAGAGTCTGAAAGCCTCCTCATCCCACTTGTGTTTTGTACTTCCCCAGGTATTTGATTATTAAACCCTTTTTATTTAAACCAAAGGCATGTGAGGTGAAAGATTAAAAGATGATCTTGGAATAGTTCCAAGTTGTAACACTAAGGGCTACAAATGACAAAACACAGTGAGCTAGGCTGATACTCCAGCGAATTCCTACTCCAGTGATATGCTTGCTCAGTTCGTACCACGCATGTGGCATGTGAAGTTGCATATGCACACAAATAACCTGCTTCATGCGCTCACAGAATTTGCTGCCCTAGCTTCTTTTCATTGTCTGCTGGCTCCTATTCTGCCATTAAAGCTAAAAGCTCACATCAGTGAGAGGAAAGACACCAGGAAAGGAAAAAATCAAAATAAGCAGTAAGAGATTAAAAGAAAAGGTTGGAGACAAATAGTGGGAGGTTGGCATTTCAACATCTACATTTTATTTATATGACTTTTTAAACAATCAGGCTTTATACGTTTGCAATCAGTGTCATAGGGTGGTCTTTTGGAGGCAGTTATTGGAAAATTCACAGTCTAACTAGAGAACAGGTTTTTTCATGCTGCCTTAGATTCTTTTTACCTTATTGCCAGCTGTGTGGTGCTGGAGCCAACTTTTAAAATATACTGCCTTAATAAATCCAGTTTTTCCCAACAGCAACGTTGTGATACGCACTGGTAGACTGGTGTGAAACCCACCGAATATTTTATTTGGAATGTAAACCAGTGTTTGGGTGATTCTAGGGTTGAAAAGGCAATGAACTCTCCTATTCACCACCTTGCTTCAAATAAAATGTTAATCATGATCTTACTTTAAATTCAAAACAGAATGTAAATTACAAGTATCTCTGTACTGCAAAACATTGTTCATTAGCGGAGAAAAGTACTGTTAGGGAGAACCAAAGACAGATCCCTAGACTTGACTTATATCATCCAGAAAGGTCATAATATGTAATAAATATGGAACGTCATTCATAAAATCTGGCCAAGAGATTAATTTCTGTGCTTGCTGAAGAACAGAGTAAATGCATAGACTCATGCAAAATTAATCCTCAGTATTGGAGAAGATAGAAAGTATTTATTCAGAAGTATCATTTATTAATGATTTACAAAACAGGTCAACAGAGACACCCAGATAGAAGAGGGGTATGCGAATGCCAGATGAACGTACGCTGTGTCTCTGTCTCTGCCTTTTACAGCTTGCCTTTCCTGTGCTATCAATAAGTCTTTAGAGCTTCAAACAATGCCACATCACAGCATTACCCAGTCTGGGGGTGCACAGTTCTATTTGTTTGGTTAAAGCAATGTGGTTAATAAGTGACTCTTGTATGGCTCTGTCCATACTTCTGCTTGAGAGAGCAAAGAATTGCCCAGACAAGTGTAAAGGAAACTGGGAGCATGAGGTAATCAGCCACAAGATACACGGAAGTCAGTTGGCAAACCACAGGTTTAACTAGGAGCAGGAACAATTGAGGAGCAGATTACAGCAAATTTACAGCAAAAGCACTCTTTATTTTACTCTTCCAAACTGATGACCTTACCACCATGCTTGGAAGTTTGGAAAGGCTTTTTGCTTGACCTTTCCAAGAAGTGGAAGGGAAAGTAAAGAACCAGTGAAGTCTGTCAATTCCTCCAAACAAATGTAGCCTTCTCTAGGTGTATAGGGGTACACCATTGCTTTGGACAGTTGACCTGTCTGGACAAAGAGTCAGCATGGAAATTTGATAGGGAGCAGTCAGAATCAGAGCTCTGCAGGGCTAGAAATGCCGAATTTTAAGACTTCAGGGCTGTAGGTAGAAAGTTAATGGCTCTGGCTGTCCTGCAGACTGGTGATTTAAGACATTTAATCTCCTCAATTATAAAATAGAGTTTGCTCGGGTTACCTCTTACAAGCTGTTTTCTGCACACACAGAGCATTATGAAGCCAACTTGTGACAATGAAAGCAGTTACAGGCACTGCAATCCAGATGTGTGGTTTCCAATCATACTTGTTTACAACCAAACTTTGGGAGTAGCAGGAAAGCCAAATGAAATACATTTGGACCTCATCAAAGCTGTCCTTTCAAGTTATATATTTTGAAGGCCAGGCCTTTGGTTGCAGTTGCTCTCAGCAGCATTGTTCTAATGGACACAATAGACATAAGAAATCTTATGTTCCTATTTCTATTATTGCACTGCCAAGTGACTACAAGGAAGTCATGTGGGCCACCACATTTAAGAGTGCCCATCCATGCTGTATTTTTGCACGCTCAGTTTAAAATACGTAGGGTGCCGATGTGCAGACACTTTAGGAAGCAACTTCTAGACAGTGTCCAGGACCTCTTAAAATCAGATCTTAGACCACTACAGGAGTACTTTGCTCTGGAGGTCACTTGTGAGTATTTCTTCTCACCACTTCTCCAGAAGCCTTCACTGCTGGAATACTTCAGTGATGCAGCAAAGATACCCCAAAAGATCAAGTGACCCAGTTGAGAAGTTGCCTTTCCTGAGATGCTAGAAACACTCTAACAGTAACTCACAGAGCTTTAGTCAGCACACCTCATGCACACACAGATGCTATTGCACCTGTGAATAAAAGATACCATATCCTACTACTCCAAGCAGTTCAGGGGGTTAGCTCATACGTGTGAAGCAGACCCACTGTCAGTTCAGGTGTATATTTTTGCATTAATCCATCTTAAGTTATTTACTTAGGACAAGATTCACCCCATGAGTGACTGAGGTTTACATGACTACATACCTCTTAAATGCACCTCCTGAGAATCAAAAATCAGTCCTCTTCACAGACAACACTACCTGGAAACCTCTTACCTCGTGTACATAACCAGGCTGCTGGCTTTGTGCAAGCGGTGTACAGGTTCGGTCACCTATGCTCTGAAAGCTACACTGAATCAGAAAAGGACCACCTGAATGGCTGAAGAACAAAGAAACAATTGCATGAGAAGTGTTTGGTTTTTTCACTCTAGTAACACAGGGAGAGAGGTTGCATGCTTTATTTCTGCAAATTTACCTGGACATAAGATAACAGGAGCAATGATCAGAGCAGGGATGATGTTGCTAAAAGGCTGGACCATTCAGTTACACAAATCTAAATATAAAGCACTCATCTGCTCCTTTTGCTACTTCTCCCCCACTTCCTGTAATTCTAGGAGGAAATAATTTGACCTT